CATTCCGAGGAAAAATCGGGTTTGATTTATAATAAACCGGAACTTGGTAAACAGTGATTTTTGGTCCGGTCTGTGTTCTCAATAACCAATTTAACCTTTTGAGTTTTGACCCAATAAAAACTCTTAAACACAAACGGAATATAATTTCTCTGAGGCTCAGGAAGATGCCAATACGGCGAACGAAACCTAGGGTTCCGATAATGACGTCGCCGGAATCAATCTTCACGGCGATTAACCAGATTGATGAGAAAAAGGACAAACTGAAGAAAGCTTTTGATGATCTTCAAGCTCACCGATCTCTCCTTTCACCATCTTTCAACCTTTCCTGGTTCGAGATTGACTCTCACTTTTCCTCGCTCCAGTCTTCACTGTTTAACCGCTTGCGCCTCCTTCAATCAGCCGCGAGTTGTCCAGATTCCGACGAAATCGAAACCTCCAAGGCGGATACGATGACGGTTAATTGGCCGGAATTGAAAACGTTTTGTGAGAAGATGGACGGTAAAGGTTTGGGAAAGTTCATGATTGAAAATTCGAAGAAGCGTGTTTCTATCAATCTGGAGCTTCCTGCAGCGATTCGATGCTCGATGAATCCAGCAGCTTTGGTTCTAGACGCGATTGAAGGTTCCTACCATTGTTGTTCTTCTTCATTCGCCAGACGAATCGATGAAACAAGGATTTTTGTTTTGTTATTGGAAGCTTTGATTGAGATCAATGCTAATCTTACAAACGATTTGAGAGAACGAGCAAGAGCGCTTGCTTATGATTGGAAATCGAATATAGGTAACAAACCATCAGAAGCATTAGGGTTTCTACATTTGGTTGCAGCTTTTGAATTAGGATCTTTGTTCGAAATCAAAGAGCTTGCTGATTACATTTTCATGATCTCTAAGCATAAACAAGCAATTTCCATTTGTAAGAAGATTGGTTTAGATAGAAAGAGAATCGGAACTCTCATTCAGAAATTCTTGCATACTGGGAGATTACTTGTTGCGATTCGATTCATTTATGAGTTTGAGATGACTGGTAAATTCAAACCGGTTTTGATATTGAAAACTAGCTTGAAGAACTCTAGAGAAGCTGCTAAGAGAGTTTGCGCCGAAGGGAATTACTCTCTCAAGGCACAGAACGAAGCTACTGATAAAGAGCTTAGTGCATTGAGGTTGGTGATCAAAGTTGTCAAGGAGAGAAACCTCGAATCCGAGTTTTTACAAGAGAAACTCGAAGAATGCGTTCGAGAGTTGGAGGATCAGAAAGCCCAGAGGAGGAAGTGTGCGACTAAGTTGGCCTCTCCTGCTAGTGCTAATCCCCAACATTTACAACAACAACTCGATAATAAGCGCCCTCGAGTTGCTAATGCCGACTACATCCCAATGCCACTTTTGCCTGATCCTAACCACAACTTACAAGTGAACCAATATGGTCTTGTGAACTCAACACTACCTGGTGTTGCTATCCCATTGACCGGGCTATACGGCTCTGCTCCAATTTCTGTGCCGAGTCCATCTCCAGCTTTACAACCTGTCTGCTATGAGCAGCAAACTGGTTATGGTGGATATACTCAATACCACCATCCTTACTATCCTGAGTAGCATCACCATAGGTAAGATATAGCATACAGTTTTGGTCTAAGAGGGTATGCAAGCGATATTGAATCGCTCTGTGATAAAGAGGGTGTATGGTCTAAGAGGTCTATGCTCTATGTGTGTTTTCCTCATAGAAAAATGGTAATAGTTTTATAATCTAATCTTAATCTCTTGTTTGTTTAGTTAACTTGTGGAGGAATGGTCTTTATGGATTGATCTTTCAATTCTGATCTTGATTTGGTAGGTCACCTATCAAGATTTCCTCCCATTTTTCTTATAACCATCCAGATTTTCTTCCCAAGTGTGTCTTGATTTAGGACAGTGGAGTCTACAATGTTTTGGCTTAATTTTCTCTTGTGAAAGAAATCTACATTTCTGAACTTCTAAAAATGAGTTAAAACAATTTCTGAAACACGTAAATAATTTTAAATATAATTCCTTTAGCATTTTTTTTTTTTTTCTTATGAAACAAAAAAAATAGAGTAAATCAAATTTCGTTTTAATGGGAGAAGAATATGTTCGATTAGAAAAAGAAAAAACAGAACATGTTCCTTTTTTGTACCCATAATGTTCGGAAGAATCAAGAAGCCAATCAGCTAGATGCCTATACAGTATATATCTCTATGATTTTTTTTCAATTAATATTAATTTATTATTTCAGAAATTAAATCTTTCAGGTATCGCCAATATATATATCCGACCTCGTCTTCTCCGTCTTACACTGATTCATTCATTTCCTCTGGTTATTCTCAACTCTCGACGTCTATTCATCATCATGGGTTTGAAGGTACGATTAGATCCGTGTAGATCGATCTCGATTTCGCTTTTGTGTTTGGATCTAGTGTTTGATTAGCCTTTCCAGATGTGATCGAACAAGTTTGTAATCGATCTGTACGGATTTTGTTATCACCCGTTTGAGTTTGTGTTATCGAATCCTCGTTTCTTCGATTGATTTCTAGTTTTGTTATGCATGTGGAACTGTTTGATCAATTTTGGGTCTATGCAGATTTTTTTTGTCTCCCGAAAAATGATTTTTTTCGTTATCTGTGACATTTCGTTACCAGATTGGAACTGTGTTCGTTATTTCTTGGATTAGGTTCAGTCTAACGATTTTGAAAGAGGAATTAGTATAGATAACTTAGAAAATGTTCTCAATTACAAAATTGAAAGGTTGTAGAGGGTCAAGAGTGATGATCACTTTGTGGTTTCGAATCGATAATCAGTTATACTGATCAAGCTTTTTCTCTATATGATCTCTTGAATTTGAGTTAGGTTTTTTTTTTATAATGCTTTGTGTTTGGTTTGATATGAAGTGTCTTTGTGTTTATTGTATCTCATTGAGAATCCGAGTAGTACTATGTTTGATGATGTTTTGGGAAATTAAGGTTTTTTTTTTTATCTTGATTTTGCAGGAGGAATTCGAGGAGCATGCTGAGAAAGTCCAGAAGCTCACAACGAGCCCATCGAACGAGGATTTGCTCATCCTCTACGGACTCTTCAAGCAAGCCAAGTTCGGGCCAGTGAACACCAGTTAATATTACTTTTTTTTTTCTCTTTGATCTTGTAGTTTGCTTCTTGTTTCAACCTTTGCAATGTTTTGTAACATCTTTTAATGTTCGATTGATTTAAAGGTCGTCCTGGAATGTTCAACATGAAGGAGAGAGCCAAGTGGGATGCTTGGAAGGCCGTTGAAGGTAAAAAATCTCACATTAGTTGTAGCCAAGTTTAATTTTTTGCGAATCAACACTTTTCCGTGATTCGTGTACTCATACTGAGGCTGACCCGTCATTGTTTTGGTTTGATGTCAGCGAAATCAACGGATGAAGCCATGAGTGACTACATCACTAAGGTCAAGCAACTCCTGGAAGCAGCTACTGCTTCCACCTGATGAGAATATATGATTCATCAAAACCTCTAAAGATTCGAATAACATAGCATAAGACTTGTTCTTGCTTCTTGTGTTTCTATCATTATGAATCTCTCTCTCTACTGTTGTGGCCTTTCTCTTGATTTAAAAACCTTTTGGTTTGGGTTATCTTGATATTGGTCTATACGAAGAATCGGGATGCAAAATTAAAAGTTAAAACCATATGTTATGTTAGGTACGTCCGTAGTACTATGTCTGATCTAAGTATCTTCTTTTGTCCATAGCATTATCAACTCATGATGTCTACGAAAAGTCGTGAAGACTAGTGAAATGTATTTTGTCTTTTAGATAGTTGACTACTTGACTTTTAGATGGGAAGAGTCTAGACGGCAAGACCCCATTGCATTACACTTTCCTACCTTATATTCACTTTTCTGCAAGATCTGAGAAGCATCAGAAGCTTTTATCAAAAAGAAAACAGAACAGAATTCCATTTTTCCAACAATGAGGTTGTTTCTTTTACTTGCTTTCAATGCTCTCATGTTACTTGAAGCTAATCGGTTTACCGACGAAACTGATAGGCATGCTTTACTCAAGTTCAAGTCGCAAGTTTCTGAAGACAAAAGAGCCGTCTTGTCCTCATGGAACGACTCATTCCCTCTCTGCAACTGGGATGGGGTTACATGTGGCCGCAAACACAAGAGAGTAACTCGTTTGGACCTTGGAGGATTGCGATTGGGCGGGGTGATATCACCATCTATTGGTAATCTTTCGTTTCTCATATCAGTTAATCTCTCTGATAACTCTTTTGGTGGTACCATCCCTCAAGAGATTGGAAACTTGTTTAGACTTGAATATTTGTATATGTACTCAAATGTTCTCGATGGAGGGATTCCAACCAGTCTATCTAACTGCTCTCGATTGTTGGACATTATTTTGTTTTCAAATAATCTTGGAGGAGGTGTTCCTTCAGAGCTAGGGTCATTGCCGGAACTTGATCTTTTGTTTCTTGGTAAAAACAACTTGAAAGGGAAGCTCCCTGCATCTTTAGGAAACTTGACATCCCTAAGAGGATTTGGCATTGGAGATAACAAATTAGAAGGAGAAGTGCCAAATGATATAGCCAGATTGACTCAATTGACCGGTCTTCAAATATCAAGTAATCATTTCTCAGGTGTTTTTCCTCCTTCCATTTACAATTTGTCCTCGCTTGAGTTTTTATCCATCTTCCTTAGTGGTTTCTCGGGTAGCCTTAGACCGGATTTTGGTAATCTACTACCAAACCTTCGACAATTAGCTATGGGAGGTAATGATCTCACAGGATCCATCCCAATAACACTTGCCAATATCTCGACTCTTCAAAAGGTGGGAATCGAGCATAACAGTTTTACAGGAAGTGTTCCTCCAAGCTTTGGAAAACTACGGAATTTGGACGACCTAGCACTCCTACGTAACTCTTTGGGAAGTTACTCTTTTGGAGATCTTGAGTTTCTTGCTGCTTTATCAAACTGCACCCATCTACGGAGATTACGTGCTAGTGAAAATAAGTTTGGAGGTGACTTGCCTGCCTCTAT